CTTTGAAGGTTTAAAAGATGACCTTCCCGCCCCCCAAAACTGTGGCCTTTGAGTCCAAACCCCCCCCCCCCCCCCGTCTCAATCACCCTTCTCCCCCTTCCTGCAACTTGTTTCTTATTCAAATCAGGCATGTTTTCTTCATGTGTTCAATCAAGCTCCATGAATTCATTGAATTAAAGCAGATTGATCATTGAGGTGGTTACAGGGTGGAGGAAGCTCTCTGTACTGGATTAGGGGCATTAAACAAGCCACTTCTATTGCATTTTCAAAAATGGAATGAAGTATGAATTCTCAATAGTTCTTATCTATTTGCAAATTGGATACAAAAAATCAATGAAACTTGTTGCAGAAATTACAAGGAACAATTGCCATTTGCTGATTTCCATCTCAACAGATGAGATCACACATCAAGGTGGTTCCAAGTGCATAACTTACTAATGCTAATTCACATAACAAACAAGACCCAAGTCAGCAAAAAATTCATGCTGGATCAGAGCATTTGCCTGGCCAAAATTGTTAACCCGTGCCTTCACAGTTGTCAAAGGATCCAATGAATGCTGAGTGCCAATTGTGATGGTGTTCTCGCTGGTTACAAAGTTATGGGTCACCTCTGCTCCAACGGCAGTGCTGGTCGCGAGGTTCACTACATGGTAGTGGGATGCATTCAGTAGTGATCCTTTGTACTTCTAAATTCTGATACCAGTTTTTGCAACAATTAGATGTATAAATAAAGTTGCGATTACTGGACCAACATTTTAACCACCACATACTTTATCAAACAAATCAGATTCAATCTTAAACAAATCTTAATATCAATCAAATATCGTAAATACCAACTGAGAACTTGCAAAAACAGTAAAAGAAGAATCAAAACCACCCCTTTTTTTTGTTCAACCAAGTATCCTTGGCTGAGGTATCAATCAAACTAGACCATTAATCACCACTCCACCCAGTAATGTAAATACCAACTGAGAACTTGCAAAAACAGTAAGAGAAGTATCAAAACCATCCCTTTTTTTGATAANTATTCAACAAAAAAAGAAAAGAAAAGAAAAGAAGAAAAGCTTGAAAAGAAAAATCACCTGAATAGAACCGAGTCCTTCAGCGAAGCAGAAACCCATACACTGCAACCCAACGATGATAGAAGACATGACATGCCCTTTAATCCACAAGAAAGAGTAAAAGAAGACTCTTTGCCAGTTTTAGTGGATACTAGATAAAGATTTAGGGCAAAATCGATTTTAGGCTAGAATGGAGAATGGAGATACTCACCGGTGGAGGATGTGCTCACAGCTCAGTTGCTGGTGGAGGCTGTGCTCACTTCTCAGTCACTGTGTCACTGATACGTCTGTCAAAATTCAATACGATACGATTAATTGACACGAATTGACACGGATTAGACAAGTTTGAGTGAAACCTTAACGGATAAACGTGTTAAACGGGTCGGATTTGGGTGGTACATGTCAACCCGTTTAAATAAAATTAATATAATAATATATGATTAATTATTTTTAAAAAATTAAACATATATATTTTTTTTAAATGATAACTAGCCAGTAGCCACACAAAAAATATATAAACTTATTTTGTCCTAAACGGCTAAACCTAATCTAATTCCTTATTCTATTCAGGCTGAAGCTTTGCGGCTCCTGGCACTTGCCCTCCATTTCTGCTATTCTTCTCCACTCTCTTTCTCTCTCACAGCGAGCTGTGAACAGTAGCATCGACCTGCAAGCTGCGAGATCGAGCGACCTACGAGATCGACTGAGACTTCGAGTTTAAGCATATTTGTGTTAGATCTGTAAATATTCTTTGTTATTTGTTAGATCTGTAAATATTCTTTGCTATTCTGAGTGAAGATCCGTAACTATTCTGTTATTTATTGGGTGTAAACTTGATTTCATTTGTTGAGAGATCATGGTTTTAATTGAAATAAAAGAATTGAAGTAGCTCATTCAGTGTGCGTTGGATCTTTTGAGAGAGAGAAATGTATAAAACGGACGGGCCTACCTTGTTGGTTGGTTGTGTATATCAAAACGCGTAAAGTGATGGTTGATGGAGCTTTCTTAACTTTATATAATGGAGGAGCCAGATGTAAGTGGGGAAAAAGAGAGAGGGTAAGTGGGAAAGGGAGACAGAGCTTGGAGAAGTTAGAGGAAGTGGGTGTGTTGCCATATNAGATGTAAGTGGGGAAAAAGAGAGAGGGTAAGTGGGAAAGGGAGACAGAGCTTGGAGAAGTTAGAGGAAGTGGGTGTGTTGGCATATTGTTGTTGAATGGTAGTTTTTACATGGATTATTATATTGTATATTTTTTGTTTGTTGATATTTACTGTTGTTGATATATTTTTTTGTATATTTACATGGATTAATATATATTGTTTGTTGAATGGTAGTATTTACATGGATTATTTTTTTTGTAGTTTTTACATGGGTGTGTTGGCAAGAAAATATATACTGATATATCATATTGTATATTTTATTTGTTACATTCATTTTTTAAGAGAAAATTATCAGTCAAAAAACTGAGAATAATAAAAAAATTTATAAATAATCAAAAGTCTTGTATAAATATTTTATTTGTTATTATTAATTTGAATTTTAGAAATATATAATTTTATTCGAGATGAATTAGTTATTGTTGGAGCATTTATTATAAAAATTGCGGCAAAAAAAAAAAGTCTAATGCAGAACCATTGTCGATATTATTTTTTATATCTAGAAAATCTGGAGCAACCAACACAATTATAAGATGAGGGATGAAAACACCTCATTCACTTAATCAGGCTTGGTGATATGTTTTTATCAAAGGTATTTGAGGTCAATGTCTCCCCGTTTCATACTGGTTGCATTAAACACCTAATTTTTGTTTTGTACTTGAATTATTGACCTAAACTGTCTAGTATAATACCAAATGACATCGAGTTTGATGTCATCTCTAGAAGACTAGAACTGGCATAGATTCTTGCTTTGTCATTATATCCTTGCTTGTCATTCCACTGCAACCAAAGATTAACATAAGGGATAAAAAGTAGATTTCTCTCTATTATGGATTTGATTGACATGGAGGAAAGTTCACTTTTGCCAGAAACTTTCCAAAAACTGTCCAAGTTTTGATTTATATTAGAGATTGAATTCATGGAAAGAGCAGTAAGTTTAATTCTATTTTACTAATATTATTTTTCTTATTACACTAATTCACGTGATCATTGATTCATTTATGTTTTGCTTTGCTTAGTTGTAGATGATTCTAGTGATGATTAGGAAGGGAAAATAGATGATGATGTTTTCAATCAAAATATGAAGTCTAATAAAGTTATATTCGTTCAATGTTCTAATTCTATGTCTATCATTGATCATAACTAAAGAGAGGTAACACCAAGTTTTGGGTACTTATCTAGTTATGAGTCTATTTAATTATTAATATTTCATTTTAATTTGTGTAGGACATGAGAATTTGGTTGTTGAATCTGCTCGTTGTCATGTAGATGGAGATTTGATATCTTTCATGAGATTTTGTGAATCATGAAATTTGTTTTTGTTTGAAATTGTGGTTTGTAATATGATTGTTATTTCGGATTGTATTTATGATTTGTAATATGGTTGTTGGTAAAATTTGGATATTTTAGATTGTAGTTTATACTTTATAATATGGTGTGGTATGATATCTCTAATTATCACATTTATTTGTGCTAGTTTGTTAGTTTTATGATGCTATAAAATATTTTTAAATAAACAGTTAAATGGATGACTTACCGTGTTAAATGGGTGGTAAATAGGTAAATGGGTTAAACGGGTCAAACGAGTGGTTTATCGTGTTAACCCGACCCGACCCAAACCGACTCGTTAAAAATTAAACGTGTTAAACGAGTCGTGTCGTGTTACCCATTTATTAAACNATATCTCTAATTATCACATTTATTTGTGCTAGTTTGTTAGTTTTATGATGCTATAAAGCATTTTTAAATAAACAGTTAAATGGATGACTTACCGTGTTAAATGGGTGGTAAACAGGTAAATGGGTTAAACGGGTCAAACGAGTGGTTTATCGTGTTAACCTGACCCGACCCAACCCGACTCGTTAAAAATTAAACGTGTTAAACGAGTTGTGTCGTGTTACCCATTTATTAAACGGTTCGTGTTCGTGTTTTGATTTTTTACCCGTTTATTAAACGTGTCGTGTACGGGTTTACATGTTTTTCACCCGTCACCCGTTTAACCCGACACGTAACCGTTTAACCTGACACGTTTGACACCCCTAGTCACTGGTGGAGCTGTGGATTAAGCTTAGATTTCACAAGGTTCCGATGGTTTGCTCAGTCGCTGGTGGAGTAGCTGTGGAGCTGTTGAATATTCGGTTGGAGCTCGTCGGAGTGATACCTGGCTAAGAGTGGTTGAGGAGTAGGAGAGGACTTCGTCATTGGAGGAGGAGGAGATGACTTCATCGTCGTTGGAGGAGAAGAGAACTTCGTTATTGCAGGAGGAGGAGTAGACTTTGTCGTTGAAATATTTGAAATTTTTTGACCTAGCCATTTGATTTGAGAATTTTTAACTGAGGCGAATAAATGTTTAAATCATCATTATAAATGATATTTTTAAAATCGTCATTCAAAATAACGTTTTCAACACCTTTATAATTTGTAACGTCTGTCAATTTCTGTTTAAAAACGTCATTCTAAATGACAACTTTAAAAACATAATTAGGAATGACATATTATTAAAAAAATTTTAATTTTAAATCGCCATTAAAAATAATATTTTTATATCTGAAGACGTCATTTCAAATGGCGCTTTTAAAAAAACCTCAGTTTAAAAATAAGTTTAAAATTANCATTAAAAATAATATTTTTATATCTGAAGACGTCATTTCAAATGGCGCTTTTAAAAAAACCTTAGTTTAAAAATAAGTTTAAAATTAATTGAATTGAGAAAATAAATTTTGAAAGGTCTGAGTGTGGGGGAAAAGCTCTGATGCGCGGTATGGACAAAGCATATAGAATCAAAAACTCCCTACGCAACCAACTTGGGGCAATTTCCTGAATGGGCCCCACAAACTAACGCGTGTACGACTAACGCCATACGCGGGAGGCGTACGTTAAAAGTAAAAGACACGGAAAAAAATGCAAACCGTGCACACTACGCACACACCTCCTCGTCCTTTTTGTCGCTGAAACGTCACCCCTCTTTATAACGCTATTTAATTNGTAAAAGACACGGAAAAAAATGCAAACCGTGCACACTACGCACACACCTCCTCGTCCTTTTTGTCGCTGAAACGTCACCCCTCTTTATAACGTTTGCACACCAGTTGTTCCAAAAAAACAAAAAAAGTGCGCACCACGACACCTTTTGATTTGGGTAAATTAGATTTACACCCCGAACTATCACTATTTTTTTATTTTATCCCCTCAATTATTAAATGTTTTATATTATACCCTCAACTATATGATTAATTTCATATTATTCCAATTATTAATGTCCAGTACATATTTAATGTAAAATTATTTTATTTTATCCTCCAAACTATATAATTTTTTTTCATTTTACTCTAACATGTCAGTAATTTTCTTCCAAAAAAATAATAGACATTTGCGATTATGACAATGTGAAACAAAAGTATTAATTGAAGGTTATATGAAAAATCTAGTAATTAAGGGGGCAAAGTAAAAATATGATGATAATTTAGGAGTATAAGTATAATTTACCCTACTGATTTGGACAAAACACATTCACATGGATCACTAAGACCATAGTCATTGCATCATCATCATCACTCAATAACTAATACACTTCCCCTCTCTCCCTCCATGTCTATATAAAGACTTCATCTCCCCGAGTCTCCCTAATTTTGCTTTGGAATCCTCCATTGCCCTGAAAAGTTCTCTTTTTTCTTTAAATACGAAAATAGAGCAAAGTCGATTCTTTGCTTCCTCTATTGCAAATCAAGGGTCTTTCTATCGTTGTTGTTTCATTAACTCTACGACTTTCTCTCGATTCAAAATCGAAGGTAAAGGAAAAGTTTCTTTTATTTCTTTTTGTTCTGATCATATAGTTCCCACTATTATGGCGTGCACATTGACACTTGAATCCGTGAGAAAGAATTTGGTTCGACAAGAAGATACAATCATTTTTAGTCTTATAGAGAGAGCCAAAT